CCGCAGCTCTCCTGGGTCTCTCTCTCCTTACTGGCTCACACAGCAGCGGAAGCCATTGGCACAGCCATACAGAGCAGTGTGCTTACAGTGAAGCACACAACCCCCGCCCCCTAGTAAAACACTTCAAGCACACAGTTAACCCTTTGGTCGCCCCTCATGTTAACCCCTTCCTACCCAATGCATTAGTACAGTGTCAGTGCTTTTTTTTTTTTTTTTAGCACTGATCACTGTACTGGTGTCACGGAGGATGCCAGTGACACCAAGTTAGTTCCCCCCAGTGCCCCAGTGTCAGAATGCCCGCCACAGACCCGCTATAAGTCGCTGGTCGCCGCCATTATTAGTAAAAAATAAAATTCCAGTATTTATACCGCCATTTGTAAACGTTACAACTTTCACGTAAAACAATTCATTTACACATATTGGGATTTTTTTTTAGCAAAGAAATGTCGCAGAACACATTTTGGCCTAAATGTGTGACGAAATTTGAGTTTTTAAATTATTTTTACTGGACATGTTTACCCACTTCCATGCTGTGCAATAGTAGAAATACTGCTACAGGGCGGCATGGGTGCGCAAAATCACACACACTTATATATATATATATACACACACACACACACACACACACACATACATACAGTCAGGTCCATAAATATTGGGACATCGACACAATTCTAACATTTGTGGCTCTATACACCACCACAATGGATTTGAAATGAAACTAACAAGATGTGCTTTAACTGCAGACTGTCAGCTTTAATTTGAGGGTATTTACATCCAAATCAGGGGAACGGAGTAGGAATTACAACAGTTTGCATATGTGCCTCCCACTTGTTAAGGGACCAAAAAATAATGGGACAATTGGGCCTAACCCTCAGCATGGGCATTACTAAAAAAAAATATTAATTGCGATTGTATTGGTCCACCTGATTCATCATATACCCGTGTTCTCTGCTGCCATGGCCAGGCATAGATGTGAGAGTATAATGTGTTTTTTTGCATTTCAACAACTGTCATCCTCGGGTTGACCCTGAATTTCATCAGCTCTACAAAATTAGGCTCCTCGTAAATCACCCTAACCAAAAATTTGAAGATGTCTATACTCCCTAGAAAAACATCTGCCATTCAGCTGCAGCACCAACTTGTTTATTCTGACAGCAACGGGATCTTGCTCTCAGAATATACATAAGTAGGTGTGTGCATATATGCCGAAGCATGGAGGTCTCGGGTGGCCAGTGGGTGGATGGCCCTTATGCGTCGGCATATATATTTTATAATATTTTTAGGCACATTTTATGTGTGCCATCCACTAGAAGTGGGTGGATGCAGGGTAGTATAGTCTAATGGTGGGCATACCACACACTTTTTCTGGCAGAGATTTCTTCTCTTTTTGTTCAACTTACAGGCTGCATACCAAAAAAAAAAAAAAAGAAGAACATAGTATATACACCAACAAGGATCAGCGACGTACTGGTACATCACTGGACCTATACCAGGATGATGCCTAGTGGCTAATTAGCTGCAGGATTGCTTTTACAAGCAGCGGAAGAAGATGTCCCCCCTCCTCCTCTGCCTTCCCTGGCCTTTTCGGGCAGTCCCGTGCCATCGGGGGAACCTGAGAATGCAGCCAGTGTTTCTGCCAGCTGACCATAGAGCTGATTGGAGACTGGAATGGTGACAATCATCTCGGGCAGTCCCGTGCCATCAGGGGGAACCTGAGAATGCAGCCAGTGTTTCTGTCAGATGACTATAGAGCTGATTGGAGACCGGAATGGTGCCAATCATCTCTATAGTCTTAGAAATCAGAAGCTACAAGCATTTCATCACTTCAGTTTCGCAGGATATAAACAGCACCATTTGTAAATTGGAAAAGCATCTGATCACAGCGATCTTGGTGAGATTAGATAATGTAAGGGTAGAGAAGATATACTGAGTCTGATAGACCCCAGATTTAAAAAAAAAAAAAAAAAAAAAGGAAGGAAGAATATGTGAATGTGCATTGAAGTTACAGGGGATATTTGCATTCACTGCGATAGTATTAAAAGGGATAAAAAAAAAAAAAAAAAAAAAAAAAAGTGAAAAAGGGAGTATGTAAAAATAATGTAAAAAATCAAATTAACTTTGACCCTGTGTTAGTATGTAATCAGCGGTTGCACCATGCATGTGAGGTATCACTGCAAACATCAGATCAAGGGCAGTGATTCTAGACTAGACCTACTCTGTAAATCTAAAATAGTAGCTTGTAAAGGCTTTTAAAGCGTTGCCGATGGATATTAAAAATGTATGCAGTTTGTCGTCATTGCACGGGGCATGTGCAGTTTTAAAGCATGTCATGTTTTGTATCTATTTACCCAGCATACCATCATCTTTTATATCTCACCAAATAATTGGCCAATATATATTGTTTTTTTGTGCATTAAAAGTAAAAGAAAAAAGTGTATTTTTTTTAAAATGTGCATTTGAAAAATCGCTGCACGAGTACTATGTGACATAAAAAATTACAGCAACCACCATTTTATTCACTAGGGTGTCTGCTTTAAAAAATATATATAATGTTTGTGGGTTCAAAGTAATTTCCTAGCAAAAAATACAGATTTTTTTTCATGTGACCAAAAAGTGTCCGAAAAGCCTTGGACTTCAGGTGTTTAGAAGAGTGAGTGATGTGTGGCATAAACTTCTAATGCTGGGCATAAAATGCCCCCACCCCTCAAAACGACCCCTTTTTGGAAAGCAGACACCCCAAACTATTTGCTGAGCTGCTATAGGGCAGACAGCAAGTGGTTAATAATGTGCAGCTCTATCATTCAAGTGGCAGGATTGCCAATTTGGATGATTGAGGATTAAAGTATACTGTAAAAGTGATTGTTTACTTCTTGTGCAATATATTGTGCCTTTACTGGCTTATGTGAAGTCGCTTCCAATTCAGGAGCCAGCCACTGGTGGTTGCTGTGATGACTGCGTCAAGGGTATACAAGAATATCCTGCTGACCTGCTCCGGTCCTACTGAGGAAGCTTGTTGATTGGGTGTAACACATAAGAGTGGAGCGGGATCAGTCGAAGGCCACCTTGATGTCATCAGTGGAGGTGGTGAGACAGAGAGCTGCCTGTGTGTGATATGCGCAATACATAGCACTGTGTGTGCATTGACTTGTGTCATGAATGAAATAATGCCAAGGGCGGACTGACCATTTGGAAACTCGGGCACTGCCCGAGGGCCTGGGTCAGTAGGGGGCCCCAGGAGATGCCCCTGGTACCTTTTTCATAGGCTTTTTTGAGTTTGGGCAAGGACACAGGGGCCCCATGATCCCCTATTGCCCTGGGGCCCCATGAGTCGTCAGTCTGCCCATGAATAACGCTACTTATGTGAGTGTAGGATCCATGGAAAAGTGGGAGCCATCTGTGGTGAAGTGAATCGAGGGCCATCCTGTTTGCAGCCCATGAAGGGGGCACAAGCACATGTGACTCTTGACTAGCCGTTAGGGTCCAGTCTGGAGGTGAGCATATATTGTTCATCAAAGATGTATGCACGAGTAGCACTGGTGACCAGTTATAGAAAATATTGATGCACATATATATTGAAACACGTGGATAATTTGGTGGAAGATCTTACTACTCTGGACTTTATTATTATTTTATAGTGAAGGTTTGTGGGTTCCACTGGATCTTTTGCTGCATTAGATAAAGTATAATATTTATTTATTTTTTAGTTACAACCTCTAGAATTACTTTAATGCTTCATCTATTTTTCTCTGTTTATACAGATAAAATTTGTCTTTTGCCTTGCAAACACATATACAAAGACTACAGTATGACGACTTCTGTCTTCCTTACATATAGTTCCTAGACTTTATGATACATATTCAAATGCATGAGAGAAAGATAGTTATGTTTACTGCTTCTACTAATGACTTCATTACATTTTCAGCTCCTTGCATCTCTCATCCTCTTGATACATATGGTTTTCATCTTACCAAACAATATTACAAGGATAACTTGATAAGCAAAGAGCTCCTTTCTGTAGTGATGTAATGATTTCAAAATTGCCTGCACTGTTTTGTGCTCAGTCCTGTGATTAAAAACAAGCATCCAATATGTGTGGATGTGCGCCCACCTAAATGCACTAAAACACAATTTATATGGCCTCATTATCATATGTATATTAAATACATTATAATGCCAAAAGTATTGGGATGCCTGCCTTTACTTGCAAATGAACTTTAATGGCATCCCAGTCTTAGTCTGTAGGGTTCAATATTGAGTTGGCCACCCTTTGCACTTATAACAGCTTCAACTCTTCTGGGAAGGCTGTCCTCAAGGTTTAGGAGTGTGTCTATGGGAATGTTTGGCCATTCTTCCAGAAGCATATTTGTAAGGTAAGGCACTGATGTCTGACGAGAAGGCCTGGCTCACAGTCTCCGTTCTAATTCATCCCAAAGGTGTTATTTTGGGTTGAGGCCAGGACTCCGTGCAGGCCAGTCAAGTTCCTCCACCCCAAACTCGCTCATCCATGTCTTTATGAACCTTGCTTTGTACACTGGTGCGCAGTCATGTTGGAACAGGAAGAGGCCATCCCCAAACTGTTCCCACAAAGTGGGGAGCATGAAATTGTCCGAAAAGTCATGTCCATAATCCCCCTCCACCAAATGATGCTGTCAGGCAAGTACCGTTCTCCTGCCGACCGCCAAACCCAGACACGTCCATCGGATTGCCAGACACAGAAGCGTGATTCGCCACTCCACAGAACACGTCTCCACTGCTCTGGAGTCCAGTGGCGGTGTGCTTTAAACCACTGCTTCCGATGCTTTTGCATTGCACTTGTGCAAATGTGATTGTAAGGCTTGGATGCAGCTGCTCAGCCATGGAAACCCATTCCATGAAGCTCTCTATGCACTGTTGTGCTAATCTGAAGGCCACATGAAGTTTGGAAGTCTTTAGCTATTGACTCTGAAAACAGCTGGTGACTTCTGCGCACTGTGCGCTTCAGCATGCGCTTACCCCACTCTGTCATTTTACGTGGCCTGTTGCTGTTGTTTCCCAGTTGCTTCCACTTTGTTATAATACCACTAACAGTTGACCGTGGAATATTCAGTAGCAAGGAAATTTCACGGATGGACTTATTGCACAGGTGGCAACCTATCACTGTACCTCACTTGAATTCACTGAGATCCTGAGAGCGACCCACTCTTTCACAAATGTTTGTAGAAGCAGTCTGCATGCCTAGGTGCTTGATTTTATACACCTGTGGCCATGGAGGTGATTGGAACACCTGTGTCAGGAATGGACTTGCCAATAATGGTGGGACTCACCTGCCTTGTGGGCTGCAGTACCAGGGCTGGCCAGCGGGTGCTCTCAGCAATCAGAGACTCACCCCTGCAATCAGCCAAACACCTGAAGCTGATTGCAGGGGTTGTATTTAAGGAATGGCCAGACTCACAGTCAGGGCCTTGGTGTGTGTTTTTCCATGGGCCCCTGTACCTTGTATCCTGTATTCCTGTTCCTGTCTGACTTGTTGCCGACCCTGCCTGATCCTGACCTCTGCTGACTTCTCCTGCTTGATCCCTGGCTTGTGACCCTGACCATTCTCTGCCTGACCCTCTGTACCGCGCTGCCCGTGATTTACTGAACCCAGCTTGTGACCCCGACCACTCTCCCGCCTGTTCCTGGTACTCCATTTGCCCGTTTGCTACTGACCCGGCCTGCCTGACTACTCTTTGTATTGTATGTATTGTTATCGGTGGGTGGTTTGGTTTGTTTGCACTGTGTTTATGTTTAGTTTTGCACTGCGTTTTGTATTGTTAGTCTTAATAAATTATATTGTTTATACCATATCTGAAGCCTGCGTTTCCCTGTGTCAGTCCACACACCACTGGTCATACCTGGAGCCCTGACAACCTGAATCTAATAATTTGGAGGGTCTCAATACTTTTGGCAATATAGCATATCTATAGTGCTATACTTATAACAACATAACAAGTGCTGGAATTAATTTGGGGTTCCACACATTGGTTTGTAAATTTCATAGGATAACCATACTCCTAGATTGTTTTGTTACTGTATTGTCTCATGTACTGTCTCCCACTATAATGTAAAGCTCTGAGCAAACCGTTGGTGCTATATAAATCCTGTATAATAATAATAATAATATACAGGCTAAAGAGAGGCTGTTTTATATCTTTCCTGCTGCTATTTAGGTCATTTATGGCCTTTCCTGCTGTTTGAGCCCAGCATACATCATATGATATGGAGAACTAAAAACGAAAGACTTGCAGATGCAGCAAAAATTGATTTTCTTTTACCCTGCACAAGCTGCTCTTTTGGAGCACATGTCATAATGCACCCATGCTAGCAGCTATGCCTGAAAAGTACCAGATCTGACCATGTGCAGCTTTGTCTCCAGGTGTAGGGTTTCACTAGCTGCTGGCATTTGTTATGCATTTTGTTGCTGTCATAACCATGCCATGTTTTTAAAACCTAAAGATAAAAATGAGAAAGGTAGATGTAGGAACTGCTATCAAACTAGATAAAGGTTTTAGAAAAAAACTTCAAAATGACTTTTACTGTAAGATGTACACAGATTTATCATTTTTTCTCTTGCAGTTACATCTACAAAAGACAAGGACATTTTGAAGCATTATTACATCATGACATTCATGTGCCAACAAATGCATATTCTATTATAGCAGCGCTACAGACAAACTGTTAAGTGCATATATGTTAACTGTGATCTGCAAGAGGACTTGTAATACAGTTCTGTCAAACTTGTGGAAATGGATTTTAACTTTGTATTTAGTTTAAGTGGAACTCCAGGCAAAAATACATAAAGAGTAACTCTACGTTTGTTGAGAAAAAAAAACAAACAAACAAAAAAAACTTCTACAAGAAACACTTTCCCCTCTAGGTGATCTATGTACATTGCAAGTATTTGAACAATTTTTGTTGCAGAGTCCTACCTTTTGTTGTTCTGAAGAAACAGCTGTTTGTGTCCATGTGCATCTAATGGGAGTGATTTTTATAATCAGCTGGCTGCTGCACCTGCAGGGCTCTAATGAAGAAAACTGTAGGACCTGTAAACCTTTAGGCAGGATTTCCCTTTGGGAGCATCTCGCCAAAAAAAATTTTAATTTTTGTTGCAGGGGATGCCAAAAATCTGACTTGTCTCTTAGTGCAGACTTCTGGGAAAATCAGTAAGCCAATCACTCAAGCAGGAAACAACATTTTCAGGGGGCATTCTGTAAACCAGTGGTCTCCAACTGCGGCCGGGGGGCTGGATATGGCCCTTTGCTTGCTTTTCTGTGGGGCATTATTCCCCCCACTATCAGCAACAGTGGGGCATAGTTCCTGCCACTGTCACTGACAAAAGGACACTATTCCTCTTCTTGATACCAATGATGGGGCACTGTTCCTCCTATTTATACCAATTATGGGGCACTATTCCTCCCATTGACACCCATGATGGGGCTCTATTCCTCCCACTAACACAACCGATGGGATGCTATTCCTACCACTCACACCAATGATGGGGCACTGTTCCTCCTATTTATACCAATTATGGGGCACTATTCCTCCCATTGACACCCATGATGGGGCTCTATTCCTCCCACTAGCACAACCGATGGAATGCTATTCCTACCACTCACACCAATGATGGGGCACTGTTCCTCCTATTTATACCAATTATGGGGCAATAGTCCTCCCATTGACACCCATGATGGGGCTCTATTCCTCCCACTAACACAACCGATGGGATGCTATTCCTACCACTCACACCAATAATGGGGCACTATTCCTCCCATTGATACCACTGATGGAGCACTATTACTCCCCACAATACTAACGATTGGGCACTTTTTACTCCCACTTGCCACAGTCCTGCCCCCCAAAAGTTTGAAGGACAGTAAATTGGCTCTTTGTTTAGAAAGTTTGGAGACCCCTGCTGTAAACCATCTGTGCACAGAATGCCCACAGGTAGTCAAATTGCATTTTAGAGAAAATTATAGCGCTGCAGATTGAAAAGGAATGGTAACTTTTTAATAACATTCAATTACAATATGACTTGTGTCATACTTGTATATGCTATATTATTTTTTATTTGCTAATTTTTAAGTTGAGTTACCCTTTAAGCTGTTGTAACCACCTCACTATTTAATTTAGCCATGGCAAAACTTCCCAGTTAATGAGTATGCCTCCATTTTATAGGTAAAATGACCTTACAACAGAATATAATGAAGAAGTCCTACTGAGGAAGAGTTGAAGAATGAAGAGTTTCTGAGTGAAAAACACCACGCCACAAATGGAGCATGTACGGATGGTAAGTGGTTTCTCCCAAACTGTATAAAGCTGCTAGTCCCAACACAGCTGTAAAGTGGAAAAATGAAAAAAAAAAAAAAAAAAAAAAAAAGGACAAGAGAGCTTCTTATCCCAAAACAAGGCCTTTCAGAGGGTTTCCTTCCAAACACTCCTCCTCTTCAGAACAGCACAGAGCTCAGCTCTGTTCCCAAGAGCTAACAATCATTCAGTTTTAAGGCAGTGAAATTCATGTGGGTTATACTCTTTACTTTAAACTTACTGATTAAGAGGGGTAATTGTCCCACAGATTTCAAATCATTACACGGCTAGATTTAAATGGCCATGACTTAATTGAATCTCACCATGCATTTCATTTCTAAAAGTACAGACACACTAAACAAAACTGCAGCAATCCACTGCGGTTATATGGAATTTTACTTCCATTAATAATATATGTGGACAAGTTGCAGAGGTCAGGTAGGCAAGGCTCTTGCCAGTGAACTTGCACATTAAACCATGATCTGTTTTTACTTCCCTCTCTACATGCACATAGACACACACACATGATTATTCTCACTAGAATTACTGAAACTGTGCTCTAAGCATTACAACAGGTGGGTGTCTTTAAAAGACACAAGCAACTAATACATATGTGTAAAAGTCACCTTAGAGAGAACACCACTCGTGCAAGATACAGCACCCCTGAACTAAACAAGTCTTATCCTGGCTAAAAAATACATTATGATAAGGCCAGCAGAAAACCGTTGGTTAGAGTAGTCATATGCGTTTAACCTAAATGGTATCGCCCAAAAAATTACTTTTCTCCACTTCTCTAGGAAGATCATTCAGTGCCACACTGGAGCTTACAATCTAATCCTAGATTGTAAGCTCGAAAGAGCAGGGCCCTTGAACCCCTCGTGTTTTGTTACTGTATTGTCTCATGTACTGTCCCCCACTATAATGTACAGCGCTGAGCAAACCTTTTAGTGCTATATAAATACTGTATAATAATAATAATAATACTGTTCTCATGAGTACCAAACACTGTAGGGCTAGTTTTGCGATATTCAAAGGAAGCCCACACAACTTGGATAGAACATGCTACCTCCCTGCTTATAAAGTCCTTAGCCCAGCATTCCTGGGTTGCATGGCAGTAATACTTCTTGTGGTGCCACCAAGTTAACTTTCACAGTACATACAAAAATACAAGCCAGGAAAATAAAATATGACAACCAGATCCTACTCGGCAAACAACATTTTTTTTCCAAGGAGGCATGGAAACAAGAGTGTAAAAATATAATTTTCTTCATCTACATTTCCCCACCAATTTTACCATAAAACAGACAAATCCACTAAATGTTTTTCTTTTGTAGAACTGCAAATTGTGGTACCATATATACCACACAGGGGCGGACTGACAACTCATGGGGCCCCCGGGCAATAGGGGATCATGGGGCCCGTGTCCTTGCCAAACTCAAAAAAGCCTATGAAAAAGGTACCAGGGGCATCTCATGGGGCCCCCTACTAACCCCCCGCCATCGGGCAGTGCCCAAGTTTCCAAATGGTCAGTCTGCCCCTGATACCACAGGTACGATATGAAAACCCATTGAGCATCTGAAGGCAGAAGAATGACAAAATGCCTACAGGACAGAGAAAGCAGCAAGCGGTGATGTAAAAACAAAGGGAAATCAACAAAGGCACAATGCTAATAAAAATGAAAGAGCTTTTAAAGAGGAGAACCCCAAGTATTGTAAGGGATTAGAACCTAAAAGAGGTGAAACTTATGAAGGACATAGACCCAAGGCTGCCCCATCACTTGCCATTAAGGGATAGTAACTGTACAACGAGCACCCTTCGAAATCTCTATTGACCTGCTCTCTTTCATTCTGCAACAGATGGGGGATTCTCTGCTGCAAGCCCTCCCCTCTCCACTCTTAACTCGCA